CTCCCCTCCCTTCTTTTCACCATTACTTGTCCATACCATTGGTATATTTGTAGATAGGCATAGCTGGTTGAAGCTGCCTGAGCTCAGGCTTTCACCATAAAACCACTGGTTACATCTTGAAAAGGATTCATTTAGAAAGTAGAAATAAATAAATGAATGAAGAAAAAGAAAAAGAAAAAAGTGATGGGGAGATATGGGAGGTGTTGGAAGGGAGGGAGCTGGCATGGATTTGATCAAAATATCTTATAAGCATGTATGAAATTCTCAATAAAGTTTTTGTAAAAGTAAAAAAAATGATAAAATATTTTTTAAAAAAGAAAGTAGAAATATTGAGCAGAAATAGCTAGGCAACGGCATCTGATTTACAGTCCATATCATTGGTTTTGTTTTAGAGTATTTTAAGATATCATCTATCAAACAGGAGAAAATAAGTCATAAATATAATATTCACATTAAATAATTGACATACATATGTAGTGTATAGTTGTATAATAACAATTAAACACATCTATATATCATAATAAACACAATTATATATTATATTACTGTTCTCAGAATATACAAATTGAACTTTTGCATAACCTTTAAACCAAGTTAATCATGTTTTGAGATTATTTAACACTATATAATCAATCTGTTTTTCTAAATCAGCTTGTTTAAATTTAACTAACCTTTTAAAAACAACGTAAGCAATCTTACTAGATGACATTGGGATCCCCATATAATCAACATTTGCAAGCTAAGCTGAATGCAGAGTTTTAATCTTTAAAATGTGTTCCTCATTTCTCCCTCATGATCCTTCCATGTACCATCTCTGAACACCATGTTTTCAAACATAATAATCATTGATGGACACAGCAATCTTTTAAGTCTTGTATTACACATAGTAACCACATGTAGCATAGGTTTAATGTCAGTGATATGGATTTGAACTCAGGTCTTCATATTTGTGCAACAAGTTCTTTTACTGTTTGAATTCACTCTAGCTCTGATATGCTATAATTTTAATTAGAGAGAATAGTGATTCATTCACCTTTCCCTGAATTGACAAGTGTTATAGACTGCAATTGCCTAGCTCAGGGAAATTATATACATTATCAGTAATGGTATCACAATTTTTAGTTTGAAACTACATCAATGAATATTTGGTTTGATCTCAGGAATCTCAGATACTATGTTTTAAATGTCTACATTAAAATCATACTGACATTTCACATCTAATTCATGTTTTTATGTTCTAAAGGATGGAGCAGGTAGGTGTCAAGGCCTGATTGATTCATGACCTGAAGCTTGGCAGAGGATACCAGATATTCTTGGAGACCAAGAATTGGAGGAAAAATGCTTCCACCCTGGAACTTTCCCTGCTCTTTGCTTCTGTGGTCTGAGTTGACAGGCTGTGCTTCCCTGATTAATTAGCAGTCCTGGTAACATAACTAAAGAGCTCTGTTTCAGTTTATTGGCACAGGAGTTTCTCAGCACTGTAGGCTTGGTTTCTATATAGAAATAATAAATTTTGATAGTTGCTAAGAGTAATCACAAACAGTACACCTTATATCTAAGATATTATAAACATTATGTGGCTGAATCTAAGATACTATAAACATTGTGTGAGTTTCGATTGGTAAAGTAATGTATCCTTGGTTACTCCTTGGTTACTTTTGGTTGGTAAAGTAATGTGTCCTTGGTTATTCCTTGGTTACTCCAGATCTGCTTTCTATATAAGTTTGCTTAAGTTCATAATAAAGATGCACTGGTACACTAGCCTCTGCATCCCCTGCGTCCTGATTTCTCCTGCACCTATACCTCGGGGTCCTCAAGCCCATCAGGCTTGAACTATGGTCACTGAACTGTGACAGGTAGGATGTTTAAGAGCTTGGGTCATAAATGACTTGTGAATCAATTCATCAATTATGGATTAATGAGTCAACCTAGAGAGCAGCTGTGTTATCAAAGACAGATTGTGGTCTCTTGTGTTTGCCCCTCTTTTGTTTTAATGTAGTGGTATTAGGACTCCTTAGAGACCCCAGAGGCTCAGGGATCCCTGAATGTAGCTCCTTGACCTCAGTCCTCACAGCCTCCAGAGCTGTGAGCTGAACTCCATTTTTATTATTTGTAAATTGCTCAGTCTCATATAAGAAAGTATTTACAGAACCAATCAAAATAATTGGAACTTTGGGTAAAGTAAACTTTGACTAAATTGTTATGAACGAATAATTAGCTGATTTTCCCTCCAGGGACATGTTTCCCCAAGGTCACTACCCGAACAACATTTTAAATTGAGTCTTGTTTTTCAAGTAGTAGACTTCAGTTATTTACCCAGTTGTTTAATAACTGCCTACATAGCCCTTGGTTTTTACATATGCATTGTTATTGGCAATATTTCTCATACTCAGGTTAGTAACAAATGCATCTATCAATTGAAACTTGCATCTTACTTTTTTTTTTGCTTTATGCTTTATAGGAAAGCTTTAATGAATCTAGATACACCATATTTTGAGTGGTAGAGACAAAACATTGGTTCCCAACACATTTAATTTTGATTATTATATTTTATTAATGCATAATATATAGTAATCATTCCCTGCAGGTTTGTTAGTTGTTATTGTGTAATATATATATACAAACATACCACAAAATATATCTAGTACTCTTTAAAAATTTTCATTTGTAGACTTTTCTGAGGCAGGGTCTCCTTGTAGCACCAGCTGTCCTGGAACTGGCTGCATAGATCAGGCTGGCCTTGACCACACAGACATCCGCCTGCCTTTGGCTCTTGAGCACTGGGATTAAAGGTATGCACTACCATGCTCAGCCTTATTATTAAGACATATAAATAGAATAAGATAGTCCTTTATTGTTATTAATTCATATTGAAGAACAGAGAAAAAAAATAGAACAAGTATAAAACATGACCAAATCCAGAAGATATGTCATGGTGTCTGGACTCAAACAAATCTGGCAGCAGAACCAGAACTCTTTAACTGTCATATGCAATTCTTCTTTGTACCTGATCTGGGGAAAAAGCTCACATTAATTGCTAATTCACTTGAAGTAATTCATTCATCCTGACAAACACCTTTTACATATCTTTGCCTTTATCTCAAAGGAAATAAACTAAATGCTCTCTAAGACCATGGCTCACACACCTTCTATCCTTATGACCATATATAACTAGCCCGAGATCCCTGTATCTGCTGTTGTTATCCATCATTTGGTGAACTATCACTCAGATTTTCTTGAATTTAATTTTTAGCGATTACTACAAACATCTTCTTTTGGCTCTTTATTCACGTTAGATCATCCTTGGTTCCCTCTAATCAAATCTAACTTTGCAGGTATGATCTCCACTATTGCTATTTAAACAAAGATAAGGAAAGGAGAAGACAGACATGAAACTCTTATGAGATGTTGTTTGAGATAGCAGATATGATGATCTGTTGCTGTGTTTATAAACTATTCAGAACTGAGCCCAAGATACCAGAGAAAATTTAAAGCCATTGTAATTGACTTCTACAGTTGTCAACACTTAGCTATAGTCAAATGTAATTATTGACTTAAATCATTTATATAAAACTCATTTGAGACACTGTTTCAGGTGTCTCAGGATGACCTCAATCTAATGTGTAGCCACAGAAGTCTTTGAAGTCAAGAGATCCTCACTGTCTCTACAACTTGAACATTAGGATTACAAATTTGTGTCACCATTCTCAGTTTACGTTGTGCTGGAGATCGAATACAGGACTCTGTGCATTCTAGGCTACCACTGCCATCTGTACCACATCACATGAATGCAATTTATTTAAATTTATTTAGATTTTTAGATTCAGTTTTATGCATACTGATAGTTTCATGAATTAATTTTCCACTAGCTAAGGTCTTGAATTTTTATTAATTGATACAACATACAATCATAGGGAGTTAGTTTGGATTATTTTGCTTAGTAGCTTTCTTCATTAAAATTGAGTAAACATTCTTCTTAAATTAGATAAATTAAAAGTAGTTGGGGATCATCACTGACAGCAGTCCCTATAACCGTGAAGTGTGCCTCTTTCGTGCTCTGTGTTTTTTCCTTTGACTAAAAAGAACACATGGATATATAAAAACAACAATAAACAAATTGTGTTTGAAAAAAGCACAGTATCTAGTCTTCAGATGAAATTTGCCTTAGACATATACTTAATCACCAGATGGAATGACAAATCTCTTCATTGTCCTGCTGACAAGGATCTTATTAAATAAAATATATCTTGTGTTCTGTAGAATCAGTGTTCATGATCTTAATGGAATATCCTTCACATATACATTGTGCACATAAATATGTATATTTGCATGTGTGCATCTGTACATGTAGAGATTTTTTAGTTAAGCAGAAAAAGTAAATGTGATGGAGTTCTTTTCCACATGACACCTCAGCATCTATCTCTTCTAGACAGATTTCTATTGCTAGGAAACTAAGCAAAATGTAATGTTTTCCCACTGCTATTTAATAGAGGAGATTGATGGATTTTTCTTCAAAATAAAGAAAAACAAACAAAAATACCCAAACCAAGCACGGCACTACTATTGATTCCTTAGAAATAAAATTTGTAAAGTTTTCTGTGGTGTGGACATCTATAAACCCAACGGCACCTTAAAAGGAGAAGCATGGGAATGTGGAGTTCAAGGTCACCGTCAGCCTCACAGGAAGATTGAGACTATCCTGGGCTACAGAAGGGCTAAGTCCCATTTACCAAAGAAGAAATGTAATGTCAAAGTTATGAAATGTTCCACTTTACTGGATATTTTGCAAAAGCATTCTAAAATGTAACCATTACCACTACATATGTTGATGGATAATAATGGTTTTATTTTAGAATGCTTTTGCAAAATATGCAGTAATGCATTATGGATATACAAAGAACTGTCAATAGTTTTCCAAGTATCAATCCCCAATAGAAAGAATATATTTTAGCTTGAGAAAGTATTAATGTACCTCTAACTTATAATTTCATTTTAGTTATACAGATATTTATCTCAGGACTGCAGCAATGCTCAATTTCACAGATGTGACTGAATTTGTTCTTTTGGGCTTAACTGATCGTCAGGAATGGCAAGTTCTCTTCTTCGTCATCTTTCTTGTGGTCTATATTCTCACCATGGTGGGCAATATTGGCATGATGATGTTGATAAGGGTCAGTCCACAGCTTAACAGCCCAATGTACTTTTTCCTCAGCCATTTGTCATTTGTCGATGTTTGGTTTTCTTCCAATGTCACTCCTAAAATGCTGGAGAACTTGCTCTCAAAGACAAAAAAGATTTCTTATGCTGGCTGTTTGGTGCAGTGTTTCTTCTTCATCTTCCTTGTTCATGTGGAAATTTTCCTGCTTTCTGTGATGGCCTTTGATAGGTATATGGCAATTGGGAAACCTCTGCTGTACAGCAGCAAAATGTCAAGGGCTGTGTGCATTCGGCTGATTTCTTTCCCCTACATCTATGGTTTTCTGACTAGCCTGGCTGCAACATTGTGGACTTATGGCTTGTATTTCTGTGGGAAGATTGAGATCAACCACTTCTACTGTGCAGACCCACCTCTCATTAAGATGGCCTGTGCAGGGACTTTTGTGAAAGAATACACGATGCTCTTTCTTGCAGGCATTAACTTCACATATTCCCTGACAGTAGTCATTATCTCTTACCTATTTATTCTCATTGCTATTCTGAGAATGCGCTCAGCAGAAGGTAGGAGGAAGGCCTTTTCCACCTGTGGGTCTCATCTGACAGCTGTTGGCATATTTTACGGTACTCTGATCTTCATGTATCTCAGACGCCCAACAGAGGAGTCAGTGGAGCAGGGGAAGATGGTGGCAGTGTTCTACACTACGGTGATCCCCATGCTGAATCCCATGATCTACAGTCTGAGGAACAAGGATGTCAAGGAAGCCATGGAGAAAGTGATTAGCAGGAAGTGCTTAACCAAATAAAATGCAGATTATTTTGTTTTTGAGCATTTGTTTAGTAACCTTAAGTCTTTTTATGGGATGGAAAGAAAATAAAAAGTTGTGCAAATTAGAGGAAAATAAAGTGGACCAATATTGCAGATTATTTAATTCAAAATTGATTTAACTAGTTAAAGTATTTAAAGAGATGGCATATTGAACTCTTACTTGTAACAGTAAACATTCATCTGCTGAATTAGAAGTGGATTAGTTTTTATTTAAATATGTAGTAGATGAATTTTAGAAATATTTATTTATGCTTTTAGAAACTAATTTGGGGCATTAACATAGTATATTTAAGTCATGGTAGCAACTTGACATTAGTCTGTTGCTTTAATTAAGGGCTATGAGACCATTTTCTTTCACACTTCTTCAGCACCGAGTGCTCAGACCATACAACAACTGAGTTTTAAGTAACAATGCTGTTAATTTAATCTTTTCCAGGTTTTTTAGTTTTTCTTTAAACTTAACAGGTTTTATTCCATGCTTTCTAGGAACTTCCAAGTTTCAATTTGAAATATTCAAGTGGACACATAGTCTACTTCTCACAAAGTTCTTCCCCAGAACTTTCTTCAGACTGACTGAAGAGTATGCATACCTTTGTAAAAATATTTTTTGTTTAATTAACTTACTAAATTAAACTGACATTGATTTAGACTATTTTGTATATCTGTGTCTATGATATGATTATAACATATTTTAACTAACTTTTGCCTTTGGAAGACAATTATTCAAGATGTTCTGCCTATTAACAATTACATTGGATCTGGTCAAGCAATCTTAATATAATATAACACCATAACTATATTGTGTGTCCATGTATAAAGAGTATGTATCAAGTATGAGGGGAGAACTAATGAACTTTATTAAATTCATGCTCTCAGACAAACAAATTTATTCTGGTATAGAAAATATACAACTAAAGAAGCACAATTTACACATCCATATACTTCTTTTTGTATATATTTTCTTGAGATATTACATATTAAGTCTCAATTCCTGTGCACAAAAGTGTTCATGTAACAGCCTTTCTTCATAATAGGTGTATGAAACTCAAGATTCCTGGATTCTTTGACAGTGAAGAGTGCAAACTTTTTAGTTATTTAAACCAGATTTAAAGATGTTTCCTCACAGGTTTTTTATTTATGCTTATTTTTATTCTTCATTGTGAGGACGTTATTATTCACCATCCCACAGAAGTAGTCAGATAACAAAACCGTGCAAGTATGATTCTACAACTAATTGCATCTTTTGAATGTTTCATATGTAAAAGGTGTTGAGGGAGATAGGCATCCCATGTTCTCTGAGATCTACACAGCCATACCATAAAATGGCATTTTCTACTCTCTAATAATAAGAATGTTAAGGTTGGAAGGGTGATAATTTTTCAAATTCACATAAAATTGAAAGTAAGCTTTTGATTCCAGACATGTTTGACTTCATAATCACTGACTTTTACTCAGGATCATCCCCCCAAATTCTGCCAAGTGATTTTTCTTTTGAACCACCTGACACGTGAAAACATTCACATGGTGCATGTGGGATGCAGAATCCTCTCCCACACTGCTTTTTAGGACAGTTACATAGAGAAAGATGCCCCCCTATCATGTTTCACTGGGATCATTAACTGTCATTGTATGAACAGCAAATATCTCTGTGGCCTAGCTCTTACTGGGGGCCACAAAAACTCATATTAACACAACTAGATGCCTATGGGAGACAGATGATATGATGTCAAGAATTTTGATTTTTCAATTTTAAGAATTGTTGGTCTGTCTTGAACATTTGACTCTTACCTATGGCATGCAGCTAGTGTTTTTTTCAGTGTTTCTTTCATAATTAGTTTTTTACCTTTGGGAGATTGTCTCAAAGTTCCTAATGAACAAAACTCTATTATAAATATTGAGAAAATACCATTTGCTGTTCTCTTTCCTTGTGAAGGTAGGTCTGCATGCTTTACTTTGAAGTGGAGATTGGTGCAGTTGAATCTTGTAATTCTAGGCTATAATTTAAAAGGAAAATTGAGACCTTTTTCATAGACCTATTTATTACCAAATAGGTCTACTTGTCCACCTATTTTCTGTTTTTTTTGTGGGGGAGGATGTTGTTTGTGAAACAGGGTCTCATCGTAGCCCCAGCTGGCCTGGCAGTTGTTTTATAGGGCAGGCTGGCCTGATCCCACAGAGATCTGCCTGCCTCTGCCTCCTGAGTGCTGGGATTTAAGGTGTATGCCACCACACCAGATATAACAAATCATTATTTTTTTTGCTACTGATTTGACAGTGTGGCTTTGGTTTCTCACAGGTCAATTGTCATTTGATGCTCTGTCAACGGGATCACTTATACTTAGGGAGGGATGGAGAGGCATGGACCCCTTGTCTCTGTGGCCTATTCCTTTATGGAGAGCAGTCACCAAACCCAATAATAATATACAAAGAATAAGTCAGAAAAGAGTGGTTCTGTCTTGGAGAATAATTAACAATACATTTTGGATGAAAAGGAACATATTGATAAGCTTAGTTATCAGACAACACCTGCAAATAGACTACTAAAAGTACCAAACTGGAACCAAATTAATTAGGTTTGCCATACAGTGCTGCCAGTTAGTAAATGTCTGACCCCAGGAGATATGCTTTAATTTCTTCTTTTTTTGCATTTTTATTGATTTTTAAAATTTTCATACTATATGGTTTGATAGTATTTAGATCCCGTCCCCTATCTGCACTTTCCCCCACTGCCCACCACCCAATTTAATGTACACACATACACACACACACGTGTGTGTGTGTGTGTATATGTGTGTGTGTGTGTGTGTGTGTGTGTGTGTGTGTGTAATACAGCCTATAGAGTCTGATTTGGGTTTCCCAAATGTCCTTCAGTGTGGGTCCATCCACTGGGCACACCAAGAGTCCAATCCCTGTAAGACACTGTCTTTCCCTCTCCTATCAGCCATCAATCCTAAGCCTTAGGTTGGGTTGGGATTTCTTACCCTCTTCCTCATGTCTTTGTTGGGATTCTGACTGGTTCGAGCTTACACAGGACTTTTGCAAGCTGTAACCATAGTTTTGAGTTCATATGAATAAATGACCAGCTAGACATGCAAACAGAAAGTTTTTTATAGCATCTTTCATACAAAAGTAAATAGTTAAATTTTTATTAAATATTAGCTATTTATACAAATATTATAAACCTGGGACTATGTAACTAGACAAATATTTCTTAGAGAATTTAAATAGCATTGAAATAATACATGATATGAAACATGCATGTGTGGAATGATGACAACATAGAGATTAGAATCATTTTACGAGTTATACCAGTGACTCTTACATGTATGATTACTAGGTAAAGCAGTCTAAGGAGTTACAGAAATCAGTAAGAAAATCCTTGGTACCACATGTATATAAGTACATGTACAAAAAAAATCAATTAGTGATTGAACAAATTGGGCTAGTTTTAACTTGTTTCATACATGACTTGATTCTGTTGTTTATATATGTTATATATAATATTGAGATAGTATTAACAACAACTACCAAATCAAATTCTGATACTGAGAAAATATGGAAAATTTTGTTTAGGTTGGAACTTTTTATGTCAGGATATTTTGCATTACACACAAAACCTCTGACTTCAGCTGTATTTCACAGTGAAATTCTATAGCTTTTATCTGCCTAGCAATTATAATGCCTAAAACTGAAGCCAATAACAGGACAATTTATAGCATGTTTTTAAGTTCAGAGGCTATTTTGTTACATGGTCAAACCATTTTTACATATCATATATTTAATCCCCCACACTGGATACTATGAAAAATATCTGCATTGTTTTATAAAATGTTTAATTATATTGAAGAAAATAGAACTCAAACGTTTTGGGACAGAGAGATGGCTCAGCATTTAAGAGACCTGGTTATTCTTGCAGAGGACTCACCAGGGTGTGAGTCCCAGAACTCACATGGCGGCTAACAACTGTACATAAATCCAATTCCAAGGGATTCAATGCCCTCTTCTGACCTCTCTAGGCCTTGCACTTAATGGGGAAAATTACACACATGAAGCAATACATTCATACACATGAAATAAAAAATAATAACATTTTTAAAAAGAACTCAAATATTTCAGGAATAAAATAAATATATTCATATATTATTTTTCTCTGTAGGAAATAAAGATTCTATGTTAAGACAATGCCAAACTTTACAGATGTGACAGAATTTCTCCTTGTGGGTTTGACCAGGCATCAGGAACTCCGAGTTCTCTTCTTTGCAGTGTTCCTGGTGGTTTACATGGTTACTCTGTTGGGGAACATTGGTATGATCGTTTTGATTAGCATCAGCCCCCAGCTTCAGAGTCCTATGTACTTTTTCCTAAGTCATTTATCCTTTGTGGATGTGTGGTTCTCCTCCAACGTCACTCCCAAAATGCTGGAAAACTTATTGTCACAGACAAAAACCATTTCCTACACAGGGTGCCTCGTCCAGTGTTACTTCTTCATAGCCCTGGTCCATGTGGAGGTCTATATCCTGGCCGTGATGGCCTTTGATCGGTACATGGCCATTTGCAACCCTTTGCTCTATGGCAGCAAGATGACCAGGACTGTTTGTGCCCAGCTAATTTCTGTCCCTTATGTCTACGGATTCTCTGTAAGTCTGATATGCACGCTATGGACATATGGCTTGTATTTCTGTGGAAATTTTGAAATCAATCACTTCTATTGTGCAGATCCTCCTCTTATCAAGATTGCCTGTGGAGGAGTGCATATCAAAGAGTACACGATGATTGTTATTGCTGGAATTAATTTTACATATTCCCTGTCAGTGGTCCTCATCTCCTACACCCTCATTGTAGTGGCTGTGCTACGCATGCACTCTTCTGATGGTAGGAGGAAGGCATTTTCCACCTGTGGATCCCACTTGACAGCTGTTTCCATGTTTTATGGAACCCTCATATTCATGTATCTCAGGAGGCCAACTGACGAGTCTGTGGAGCAGGGGAAGGTGGTGGCTGTGTTCTACACCACAGTGATTCCCATGCTTAACCCCATGATCTACAGTCTCAGAAACAAAGATGTGAAAGAAGCAGTCAGCAAGGCAGTCACCAAAGTCATCCTGAAGAAATGAAACTAAGATGTTTCAGTGATGCACTGGTCCGTAGGATACATGATCAAACCTCAGGTTCCTAATTCAAAAAAAAATTTCTACAGAAATCCTTACACAAACTCAGATATTCATTTTATCCAGTGATATTTTATCATATGAATGTACCTTATTATGTTTTATCCTAAAAAGTCAATGATGATAAAAAATGTGTAATGATATAAAAGTATAATGTGACTCACATTGTATATAAATGTGTTCATTCAGTCATTGGCAGAATTTCCAAATAATCTTTGATTAGTAAATATTAATGTGGAAGTCTCTTATGGAGTTGAATATTATCTCTGAGGCCATTTACATATACATATCTTTCCTCATTACATATTTCATGTACAATATATAGTTCCAGCAGGGATAAAAGGAATAAAACTAATTTATTTCCTATGACTTTATAAACTTGATGATTCTAATATACAAAAGAAATGCTAAAACGTTCATATACAAAGGAAATTTTATTACTTTGTATTGGGATTATGAAAGCAGCATCTTACTCTAACCTAAGGTTTGTCCTCAGTATATATTCTCCAATAGTTAATACTGTTTGTGTTTCAGTAATCAGATTTCCTACTTTAATTCCTTGATTTTGACTTTGGTTTAAATTCTCAGTTTTGAGACAAAATGTCTTAGATAAAAGACTTGCTTAATTTCATCTAATCAAAATCCAATCAAATATGAATTTTGTGATATGTAAATCTGAGTTTTGCATGTAAAATATCACTGCATTACATCTTTGGTTGATAATGTTATCTGGCATTGTTGTTTGTCTTCTCCTTTTTCTTACTAACAATACATTACATTCTTTGATTGTGAATTAACAGATCAACTTAAGCTGTCAATGACTCCAGGTTATTAACCATTCAACTAAAACATCAGTGTAATGGGCATGAATTCAAGTGTGATCAATATAGTTGAAATGGTAGCACTTTTGGGACTGATGTAAAACACTTAAAAAGAATTTTATGTGGACTGGTCCATTCACAACTTACTGATTGTCACTTACCCTGTTCTTGCTAAAAGCAGTAAGTACATTTGTGTATAGTTAGTGATTCTTGCTATGACATCATCATACAGGCACATGGAAAGAAGCGATTCCCAGTGGTTGAAATTATTTTCATGTAATTGCTATTTCAGTTAAAGAGATGTAGAAATGAGTATGTGCAGGAAAAATAAGAGAAAGAAGATGGTAACATTTCTGACAAAATGGTTTAATCCAAACACAGAGAATAATGCTGCTCCTGACAGTCTCTCAAGCCCAACAACTTAGAATTCATCTCAAGAAATGTAGAGTTAGAGGTACACATACTCAAGTTTTGATGCTGAGGGAGGGATGGAAGAAGGCCATTGCTTTGTACTGTAATTATTTAACATTTTTATGTTCCAGGCTGTCCAAATCCACTTTAAAGGAATTAGAGATAGCAAATCCAGTCTTTTCATTCATCATCTACTCCCATAGAGATAGGTCGTGAGTACTGCAAGTGCTGAGTCATGAAGGTCCTGGTATTGTAAGGCTGTTTCCTGTAAGGGTCATGCCAAGGATACCTGTCAGTCCCCAATATTTTAGTTTCTGCTATAAAAATAAAATAACAATCAGCTACAGAGCTGAAGCAAGACAGGAATCTGAGGGCAGAAACTAAAGGACAGACCCTGGAGGAACACTGCTTATGGGCTTGCTCCCCTGGCCTGTGCTCAGCATACTTTCTTATACAACCTATGACTGACCACCTGCCCAGGGGAGGCACCACTCTCAGTGGGCTGGGCCCTCCCACATCACTCAACAGTCAAGAAAATGCCTCAGAGACATGGTCACAGGCCAACGCTATGGACGAATCCTTCAGATCCCTCTTGCTGGGGGGAAGTTATTACATCACATTTATTTTCTCAAATTTTACAGTGATGAAAATTAATTAATCATTTTATTTTGCTTCATTTCTAGATTCCATATGTGTGTAAGCTCAGATAGTGCATGCATTTCTGCAGATATTTCTTTCACTTAATATTTTGTCCTCTATGGACATTGTCAAGTCACGAGACTTTACCTTCATATTGATGAAAAATATTTCATGTTGTATATATACTATTTGTTAATACAAATATAGATTACTGGTCCCATGCCTTTGCTACTGTGAGGAGTGCTGAAATAGTTCACCACACTAATTTTATTTTGTTTGGGTAGTGATTAACCATAGCATTGCTGGGTCATGTAGAAGTTTCATTGTTGTGGAAGAAATTCCACACTGTTTTCCTTAATGTTTATACACATTTACATTTCTGCTGACAACATGTTAAGGGTTTTCTTGAGCTGGAGAAATAATGGTAGAATTGGAGGAAGAGAAATTGTTCAAAAAACAAAGTTACCATTAGAAGGAGGAGTAATTTTTGGTTTTCTATTGCATAGTATGATAACTATAGTCAGTAATAATGTATACTCTGAAATACATTTGAAGAAGGGATTTTTAACTTGTCAACTCAAAGAAATGATGAATGTTTCAGGTGACAGATATTTAAAATATCCTAATTTGATGAATGCATGACATAGGCATATAGCAAAATATTACATTTTTCTCTATACATTTGACAATTAAAGACAAAATATCAGAAAAATAAAAACACAGAAAAGAATATGATGCCAGAGTAGGATGATGATGTCATGTATCTGAGTGGGGTTTTGCTAAGTATGGCTGGTAGGCTAAAACTGGCCCACTATTGTTGCCTGTTTTACTATAGCCTCAGTACTAAAAATGGGCTTTATATTTTAATTTGTGGGTGAAGAGAGGAATATAATATTCCATAACATGTAAATTGCATGAAATACAAATTTCAACCCCCATAAAAGTTTTTGTGGAATATGTAATCACCAAAACTAATATGATAGCAATGTCATCTCATGAATCTACATTTAAGCATGATTTCTGGCCAGGCATGGTGGTGCAAGCCTTTAATCCCAGCACTTTGGAGGATCACTGTGAGACAGAGGCCAACCTGGTCTACCTAGCAACTTCTAGGTCAGCTAGGACTATAGGGAGACCCTGTCTAAAAAAAGCAAAATAAAACAGCAGCAATAACAAAAATGACATCTGTTCTAAGAAAACTTGGAATGACTTAAGGTCAAGCAGCTTTCAAAGACTAATTTTCAAATCAGTAATTTTTACAACGTCTACTGAGATACTGAGTAATTAATCCAGGCCCAGAAAGACAAACAGTATACGTTCTTCTCTTATGTTGACGACAACTCTAAATCTTGTGTTTTATGTGTTCAACTTGGAGTGCATGTTGAAGGAAGGAAACCAATAATAGGCCATAGTTAGTGGGTGCATTAAAGGGAAGGGGAATAATGGGGAAACGAGAGGGTGAAGGGTTAACGAGAATTCACGGCATATAAAAACATATAAAAACCTACCTTCTTGCAACACAAGTAAAATTATAATGGAGGATAGTGTGATATGGAATGGTGGGGGTGACATGGGGATAAAGGTTTAAGAGGGGTTAGGCATGGGAAAGTGGGGGAAAAAGGAGGTAGTGGATAGCTTAACCCAAAGGAAGGATGTTTGAAAAATCCTTATGGAGAATCCCTAGTTGGTAAGTGATTTTAAAAATATGAATTTTAAAATGGAGAGTTTGAATGGAGGTCCTCCATGAATGGAAAATACTGCTCCTAGAAGACTTGATTGTTAAACAAAAGTCTCAGTGCCAGGCGTGGGACCTCCTGGCCAGTTGTGTTTCAGGAAAAATCCAGAGGTGGCCAACTTTTCTTAATTAGTTTTATATTATTCATGACATGTTCCCATTTTACATGTCTCAGTATAATTTTTGTGACTGAATTCATGGCAGTAGGTACAAAATTACCAGTTGAAGTTGTCACAAAGGGTTGAATGCTCAAGTTTATTTGAGTAAATTTCAGGTCAATTTCACAATTTCATATAACTGTTTGACAAATAGTCTATGTGATACAACAATGCAGGACTAAATATCGACCATAAATCTACGAAGTCACAATCTCTCTCTCCCCCTCATCTCTCTCTCTCTCTTTCCCTCTCCTTCCCCCCCACATGCATACACACACACATACACACATATCTCTTTCCTATAGTTACTGTTTAAATAGTATATCGTATATACATGTATAGGACATATGCATTGCTTATGTTATATACAGTAACATTGACTTGCATCAGCCTGTTAGACACTGTTCTCATGATGTCTGAACATTATCTAGTTCTTTTTAATTTTTTCAGAGTTCTGTAAATTTTCTATGCCCTGGATTCTTAAGTGGTTGGAATGAGATTATTATTTTAAGGCAGTGTAGCCAAAGCTTTCTTTAATTTCTAATCCTCCTGTCTTTTTCTCCTCACTGCTGAAATTGTAGGCTTGGACCATGATGCCTAGCTTGAAATGATACTTAAAAGTCTAATGTTTATTGTACAAGAATATGCTGCTGACACAGTAAAGTTTAGCAATATAATATTGAATCTCAAGTTTATCATAATTGGGACATAGTCCCACAAGCAAAAAATATATTGAATTTCTAATTTTCCCTTACATTTACAACATTTGTATATGTGGTAAAATAATATATACAAACTTTTAAGGTTCAAAACCAATATCAATATTTTGTGTACTTCAAATATAGCAGCCATCAGGCAGACAGTTATCTCTACATCATCTGCGTTCATCAGACCTCACTTGAAGATGAAAATTTCCCTGTCCTATACGTGAATGCTTTAACACTTGAATTATGTGACTGGATAAGAGTGGTCCAGTGAACTTGTGTATCCAATCTCAATTTGAAATTTGCCATCCACTCCCTCAGCGACCTGTAGCCCCTCTTGTTCTCCTAGTATTCCTATCTAGCTATATAATTTTAATATGCAACTTCTGTAATCAACCATATGGCACATAGAACATGCATTTCTGTGGTGATCTCTCTTAATAAGTGTTGCATATTAAAAATGTTGCACAAACTGTTTGA